GGTGGATCTGGATTCAGAGGTTTGGCTTCTTATTTAGAAAATGACTGGTTACATTCTCCCACGGCTGCTCCAGACTACCCCAGAGCTTAATGATATTCACATCCAAGTGTTTTTTAAGTCTGCATGACTAGGAAACAATCTCATGTGTATGGTTTGTCTGGCCTGTTATGAAGGAGCCCGTGCACCTGCGTTTCCCCTACCGCCTGCATTTATTTCGTCCCATACGATCACACGAGCCTATGAAGACTGGGCTGGGCTAGGAAAGTCCACACACAGTATATGGGCTTGTTCTCCCTTATCTCCAGCCACGGGAGCGGACGGTGTCCCTGCAGAAGTTCAGCTGGGTTCCCCATGGCACTGCTTGAGCCGCCTGACAGGTTTTGCCCCAGCCAGCTTCCCACGCCGAACTGCTGCGCTCTTCACCTCTGCCACGAGCCCTGACAAACGGCCTTCGCTCTGCCGCTGCTCCTAATGATATCTGCAGTTTGAACCAAGTCCCCCTGAACTGATCAACCTTATCAACTGACCAACAGGCGCCTTATACGCCATGAGCACGTAGATCGCACAGACCTTGTCCAACAGGCTTGAGGTTCAGAGGTCAAGTTTTAACTCCTCCGTGTCCTAACATGAACTGTGGGAGGAACATGCTCCCGGTCTCTTCTTCTGCCTGTTCTGGCTTTACTTTATTATTGTTTTTACGGGTGTGTGTAACTTTTTTAATCCAGCTAGCAAGTTCGGAATACTTTTTGTGTTAATATTGACTCAGACGTAATGCAGTTTGGCCCTGTAGCTGTTGTTACCCGCGTCCCCCAGAAAGAACAAAATCTCCCTAGACTATGAGCCCCGGTGGTATTGATTCCTGCTGGGGTACGTGAATGCCAGCGAAAAATAAATAATGCTGTCATTAAAAGCTGTGGTATTTTCCAAGTTGTAGATCTAAAGGCACCCTACTTTCTTTGCTTTGCATACTTGCAGAGCACCATCCTTCCTGCTTTTCAGATATGAAAGCCGAAGCAGAGAGACATCTGATGAGGCTTCATCGCTGACTCACTGTTTGATGTTAGGCAGGAGGAATGTGATCAGATACCATTGTGCAAAGCATCCACCAGACAACTCTGTCACTCGGGAGGAGAAGCGACTCCTGCTCCTGAGCGGGATGGGTTGGCAGCCCGTCTGTCCTGCCCACAGCTGGCCCCCCACCGTCTCCAAACGGGGTGGGCAACCCCCCGCCGTCCCACTGCCCCACCGGAGCTCCGCGGAGACCACGCAGCCCGGGCACAGCAGCAGGGACGGGACGATCTTTGAAATCGCTGTTACGCCGTGTGCGGACAGAGGTTGAGGGCTCTGCTCGCGGCAGCAGCGGCAGCCGACGGTGCGGGAGAGGCTGCAGCCCGGTGCGCAGCCGGAGGGGTGTGCACGGGTGTGCGCGCCTGGGGTTCTTTCTCACGAGATGGTGCAACCAGCCAGCGGGGAACTGGTTAAACAGCGTGAGCTCCTCGGCTTGCCTGGGTTTGGCTGGTGGTGCGAGGCAGGGCAGGATGTCACCAGGAAGCCGGCATGTTTTATTAAACAGGGTATCAAAGTGGGCTAAAGTCTCTTATTATGAGTTGTAATGTCCACAAATTTTGCCACTTCCAAATAGTTTCCACCTACGTATTCCTCCCACTGCTACATCGGGTGCTGGCAGACATCTCCGCTCAAAGAGGGGAATGGCTTTCATTTGAATAGTCCTCAGGCAAGTTTCACTGAGCAGTGCCAGCGTCATACCCGCAGCTCTCACGTGCCCGGCAGCGATCCAGGGTAGTGCCGGAGGGAGGGCCCTTCGCTTGCCCAGGACTCCACAGAGACAACAGCTCTCGCTAGGTTTTCCTGGTGTTTTACCCAAACAAGTCCATGGTAGCCTAAGCCAATGTAATTAAGCAGCGCTGGGTGCACGTACTCGCAATATTACATCTCGACTTATTCTAATGTGCGGACGATTCCTTTCATCGTGGCAGCGAGCGCGGCCAGCTGTGCTATTGAGATAGTGAGTCACACACGCACACACGCAGCTGAAACCACCAGGCTTCGCACTAAATTCAAGCTTCCGTAACTACCTGCAGGCTACCAGAGGGACAAGGCAGAGCCCTGGTGGGTGACAAACTGCTCCTCAGATCCTCCGCTGCTAAGTCACACCGTGCCCCTTTCGGGATCCTTGTCTTCGGCGGATGGGTGCGGGCTCTCCTATGCGCGCCTTAGACACTACAGTCGGGAAATTAGATGTACAGGTCCCCCGGGAGCTGCTGATCCTGAGCGCTCCTGGCTCGATACATCCCACACTGACCAAGATGCTGCAGTACCGCAGACCTCAGGCTGCAGTAAGGCACTGGGTGCTCGATGGAGGTACCGTCTCGCATAGCTGACAGCACCCTGCTGCCCACCGAGTGCTTTCACGTCCATGCCAGACCTGGTGCCGCGGCTGGAGATCTGCCTGTCTCGGAAGAAGAGCCGCCGCGTCTACCGAGCACGAGAGCGAACCCCGTTCCCCCGCTCTCTCAGGGAGAGTTTGGCTCCCACGGAAACTTTTCCTTCTGCAAAAAGTAGTGGGTATTAATTATGGAGGCCTTGAGGCCGGCCGGCCGATGCTGAGGGCTAACCGCATCCGTGCAGCACCTCCCGCATGGTGTAACCTCAGCGTCCAGCCTTGGCTGCTGGGCCGAGACATGGCTGTTCTTTCACCTCCGGTGCCAGTAACCCGAAACGAGATTGCTGGAAATGAGAGAGAGGGAGAGTCAGCGATTTGATTACAGGCCACAGGCACATGCCTGGCCTTCATGGATATATTAAGTAAGAGACATTTTAAAACAAAACCACCCTCAGTAACCTTATCGTAAGCTTGAATCCACAACCCATCTGTTAACTCCCAGTGCTGCCCACATAGGCTCCCACCAGACGTCAATGCCAGGGATTTTCGGAACGTTTCCCCCCAAATCGCTATGGTCGGAAGGGGACGGTCCTGGGGAAGGGACAGGTCCAGGCGCTCGGGGTCCCCCCCAGCCCGCCTTCAGCACACCTTCAAACCAACCCCCAAACCCTCGCCTTTTACTGCGTCCGTAAATAACTGCAAATCCCCCTTGGACACGAGCTGCCGCTGTCCTGTGACTCTCAGCCCTTCTGAAACACGTGCTCAGGAGACCTGCCGCTCGATGAGTGGCTTTAGAAAATTAAGCCTTTTTAAACGTTTTGCTACTGCCTTAGTCGTACGTTGCAAAGGAGCCCTCCGCGTAGAAATAATGCAGCAAACAAAATCGAGAAGGCAAATTGATGATTGCATCAGCCCTAGCTTATGAAAACTGATCCCCAGGAAAATGTAATTCAACTCTCCAGCAATCTCACTCGATGCCCAAGAATGTAATAACTTCATTTGGATCCTCTTTTTAGGGGGACTCCTAAATCCTTGGCAACGTCCCTTAAGGTCATGAGCAAATCCTGATATGGAGAATTGTTTGGCAAGCACAAGAACAGTAAAAGGGCTAAATAATTGGGGATTACCTCTGACCCTGATTTGTAGCTCACCACCCACTGCAGGAATGTACCGAATATCTGAAAGAGCATGCAGGAGTCAGACAATTCATGGGCATGAAACTGTCCACGTACACTCGGAGTCTGAACTTAAAATGCGGAGCAGGTTGACCCCAAACCTCATTTTTCATTAGCAATCAGCTGCAGCAAGCTTTAATTATTTCTGTTGCCTTGGACAGAGGGTCAGTGATGGGACAGATTAAAAATTGTACATATTTTTTTCACCCTTTGTTTGCAAAATAACAGCTTGGGTCTTGAGGGCAGAAAGGGAATGGACCGCCTGATTCAGTACCCGTTGCTGATGCTGGTTCCTTTCCCCTGAACTGCAGGAAGGGACAGACACATCACTGCCATCTTTTTCTGATGCCTGTTGCTGAATTTGTTCGCTCCCTGTACGAAAGACAATCGGAGCTGTCACCCTGCCCCCATTTATACTCAGCGCTCCATTTCCAGTAAGTCCTCTCCTCCGCGGTGGGCTGGGTCTGCAGCATCCCAGCGGACCCTCAGGATGGCCCAGCGGATCGTGGCCGTCAACGCCAGGTTTGCGGGCTCAGGTGCGATATACCGAGAAGGCCACAGCGAGCGGGACAAGCTAAGCATCTGCTTTTTGGGGACGCTGTGTCACTGCTACAGCGCTGTGTTGTTTCTGCCGGGGATGCAGCCAGGATCTCGTAAAGAGGTTTTTTTGTTTTCATAAACCTTGCATTTACGGCTAGCAGATTTCTGCGAGGCTCCGACTCCCCTCAGGATTCCTCCTGGTAACGAGACGCACCTTCAGCTGGCGGGGAGCCTTCAAAGGCCCGTCTCCGTCGCCCGTACAAAATCTCTTTGTGCTCTCACGTAATGCCTCCTGACCTCAGATTCCTCCCGAGGTGGAGCGGACCAGGACTCTCGCAGGCGATAGCAGAGGCTCTGTGCTGGGGTTCTGCCATTACCTTATCTCGGCAAACGCGCCTTTTATCTGATGAGCTTGCCTCTGCTTGTTCAGCGTTCGGCGGGGAGGGGGGGGAATGACCGTAGCCCTTGGAGAGGGGCGGTTTGCTTTGGCAGGTACACCTCGTCATAACCGCGCTCCGCGTTTTGCAACAGCTGGCATCCCAGAACCGCGGACGCTTTGCAAAAGCGTGAAACGTCCCAAACCCCCTGTGATACCGGCACGTACCTACCACCGGTTTTGGGGTGACTCCGGGTT